CTGCCCCTCTTACCAGTGTCTTAGTGGCTTCTTCCTTATATCCTTAGTTATAGGACTTTTATTTAGTGAGACTTCTGATGGTTCTCCAGGTTGACTGTTATGTAATTTAGTTGTAATTTTAATGTGGTCAAGGGAGGCGGCAAGCACAGTCTTTTCTACTCTGCTATCCTGGATCCTCTTTTTTATTGACCTATCTTTTTATTTGTTATCAAGTAACACTTTCTCAGTCTTGAGAACTTTATCATGACATAGCCTTGTATTTTAAGTGACACTTGGGCATAGAACAATTTAATATGTTAAATAACTGTCTGTTTAAGAAAAAAATGTAAATTTACAAACTTCTGTTTTCTGAAATCATTAACCTCATCTCACTCACCTCCACATATTTTAAGATAAAAATATAGACAGTTTCAGTTATTTACTGAGGTTACTAATTTTGCTTTGCAATGATTTCACAAGTTTGGATAGTTCAAAGAACCCATAAGACTTCAAATAGCATACTCACATAAGGATTCTATTAAAATACAATGCATTATTGGTGAAACAGAAGTTCGCTTCACATATAAAATGTTCAGTTGGTTCTCCACATAGGTTCAAGTAAGTCATCTGTTATAATTGTATATGTTATAAATTGTAATTATTTTTGTTTAAACAGTCAATTATCTTTTTAAAACAGCTTTATTAAAATAAATTTCATATACTGTAGAATTCACTCATTTAAGTGTACAATTCAGTGATTTTACTTTATTCACGGAGTTGTGTAATTATCACCACAATCAATTTTAAGACGTTTTTTAGAATATTTTCATCACCTCAAAAAAGAAATTCCGTTTTCAATAAAAGTTATTCCCAGTGGTTGTCAGGGGCTGGCTGGGGATTGGGGGAAATGGGAGATGTCAGCCTAAGGGTACAAAGTACAAACTTTCAGTTATAAAGTGAACAATTTCTGGGGATTTAATATATAGCATAGTGATTATAGTTAGTAAAAGTTTAAATTATGCAACATTTTGGAAAAAACTTAGATAATTTTGTGGATTTAGAACTATACCAAGAGTTCATACACATAAGAACAAATCATGTACCATAAGGAAAATTTGGATTTGGTCAAAATGAAAGATATTTGATCTGAAAAATAAGAGAGTAAAAAGACAGCTTGCAGTTTAGTAGAATGTGATTACAAATCATATATTTGGCAATGATTTAACATATATATATATGTGTNATATATATATATATATATATATATATATATATATATATATATATATATATATATATAAATTAGTGTTGTAGATTTCTTTGGATAAACACTCAGGAGTGGAATTGCTGGGTCATATGGTAATTCTATTTTTAATTTTTTGAGGAATCTTCATACTGTTTTTCATAGTGACTATGCCAATTTACATTCCCACCAGCAGTATATGAGGGTTCCTTTGTCCCCACAGCCTCTCCAACACCTGTTATTACTTGTCTTGTTGATGATAGCCATTCTAACAGGTGTGAGGTGGTATCTCATTGTGGTTTTGATTTGTGTTTCCCTAATAGCTATTGAGGTTGTGTATATTTTCATATCTGTTTGATTTTCTTCTTGGGAGAAGTGTCTGTTCAGGTCCCATTTTTAAAATGGATTGTTTGTTTTTTTGTTGTTGAGTTGTATGAGTTATTTGCCCTGGAGGTGTTGTTTGCAAAATATCTTCTTCCATTTTGTTGGTTGCCTCTGTGTTTTGCTGTTGGTTTCTTATAATGTGCAGAAGCTTTGTAGTCTTATATAGTCTCATTCTTTTATTTTCACTTTTACTTCTTTTGCCTTTAAGGTCAAATTCGTGGTTTAGAAATGATAGCCTTTTTAACAAAAGGTGCTAAAACAATTATATACCCATGTGCATGAAAAGCGAGAGAATTTAGATCTATACCTAACACCACATACAAAAATTCATTCAAAGTGGATCACAGACTAAAACATGAAGCCAAAATATATAAAACTTCTAGAAGAAAGCCTTTGTAACTTCAGTTAAGCAAAGACTTTTTAAGATATGACACCAAAAGCACAATCCAAATAGGAAAAATGATAAATTGGACATCATCAAAATTATAAACTTTTGCTCTTCAAAAGTCCCTATTAGTTATTTACTTAATAAAGTATTTGCATTCAGAACATATACAAAATTATATTTCAAACATATAAATAATCTTTGAAACTTAATAATAAAAAAACAACCCTATAAAAATGGGAAAAATATTTGAACTAATATTTTATCAAAGAAAATATATGGATGGCAAATAAGCACATATAAAGATGCCCAACATTATTGTTTATTAGGGAAATGCAAATTACCATCACAAATATATATCATTACATTCTTTAAAAATTGCTTCAATTTAAAGGACTAACCTCATGGAGCTTGGCCAACATGGAAGGATAGTGTCTTATAAACTGCTGTTGTAATGTAAAATTGTACAAACAGTTCCACAATTCCTTAAAAAGGTACATATTCACTTACCATGCAATCTAGTCATCTCACTATTTACCAAAGAGAATAGAATGCTTAGACCCATACAAAGCTTTGTACACAAATGTTCATAGCAGCTTTATTTGCAATAGATAAAATTTGGTAACAACCTAAATATAAATCAACAGGTGATGGATAAACAAAATGTGGCATATGCAAACAACAGAATACCACTGAACAATTAAAAGGAATAAAGTGTTGTTATATACACCAATGTGGATGCATCTCAAAATTTATGCTATGAGTAAGAAACAAGATTAAAAAGAATAAATTCCTGTCTGACTCTGTTTGTATTAAATTTTAAAACATGCAAACTAAATGATACTGAGACAATGCAGATCATATCAGTGATTGCCTGTTTGGGGGAGTGGCAGCATAGCAGGATTATAAAGTAGCAAGAGGAAACTTTGGATGATAGATGCATTCATTATTTTAATTAATGTAATGGTTTCGTGGATATACTCATATACATATAACCTATCAAATTGTACATTTTAAATTATGTGTCAAATTATTATGTGTCAAAATACCTCAATAAAGCTGCTAAAATAACAAAATTTAAATAACATACATGAGGATGTTCATACTATTTTGTTGTCAAATCTCAGACACTAGTTAAGCCATCTTACTTATCAAATAACAATTATAAGAATTTTACACTCAATGGAGAAAATCCACAAGTGTCAAAAACAAAAACAAAAATCTTTTAAATGTTTGTCTCATTGGGGTATACGTTTGTCAAATGTTATTCATTGGTACAGTTAAAATGTTTGCATTTCATTATATATAAATAATAACTATAGGGAGGGAAATATCAAATATATGCAACAACCAAGACTATCATCCACTAATGAAAATACAATTGTTACAACCACTTTGGAAAACCATTAGAATATTTGCTAATGTTGAATATAGGCATCTACTATGAATAAGCATTGCCACTCTCAAGGACATATATCTGAGAGATACGTGTACATATGTTGACTAAAAGGCATGTAATAGAAAGGGCTGGCTGAGTGGCTCAGTTGGTTAAGAGCTCGCTGAAGAGTGTGAGCTCTTATCAACAGCAGTTCGAGTCCCAGCCTGAGCTGAGCTGCCACTGAGCTGTCGACAGGTGGCAGGATGGCTCAACCAAAAAACAACAACAACAACAACAAAAAAACATGTAGTAGAATATCCATAGCAGCATTATTCATAATATTCCATAGCAGCATTATTCATAATATCCACAATTGCAAATTGCCCAAGTGCTCATAGGGAATAGAATACATTAATGGCTATTACATTTATACAAAGATATAGTATGTAGAGATGAGAATGGACATTTTGCAACTGTAAGCAACAATATGGGTGAATCCCAAATTAGGTAAGAAAAAGAACATTAACATAATTCTATTTATATAAAGTTTAAAATCTGCCAAAAATGATCCTATGCTCTTAGAGACCAAAGTAGTGATTGATTATCTTTGGGAAGAATAGTGAGTGGAAGAAAGCAGATTGGGGTTTCTAAAGTGCTGGTAATGTTGTCTGAATTTGGTGCTGGTTATATAAATGTGCTCAATTTAGAAATTTCTTTGAGCTGTAAATTATGGCATGCACGTATTTTTGTTAACAACATTATACTTCAGTAAAAACTGAATAACATAAATAATCATGGAAGAAATCAACAAACTTGGGACCTTTGGAGAGGAATGATGATTTGAAAAATGTCCTGAGGATGCTTTTGGGATTCCAGCAGGGTCTGTTTTGAGATCTGGGTGGTTTTGCTAATTCATTGCTAATATATTTATATATTGTATACTTGTCTGAATTGTGTAATACTTCAATTTTTAAATTGTGAGAAATAACAAAAGGGTATTTAACATGTTACAGGTAAGTCAGTTTCTCTCCTTGGAGGAAACCATTTTTAAATGACTCATATTTCTCCATCTAGTATTTATATTTTATGCATATAAATAAAATCCTTATCTATACTTATACTTGTATCTGCATCTGTATCTATGTACCAGGTCGAGCTGTTGTTCACCGTCTTAGCTGTAGAGGGCGCAGCATCACTGGCCCTCATGTGGGATCCAAACTGGGGCCCTGTTGCTCAGAGCTTGCGCCCCCAAGCCAAGTCTTAACTAACGCGCTACTCGGCCAGCCCCCTTTCTAGAATTTTAACTTAAGCCCTGCTAATGTATTATTATGTTTTAAAATATTGATGTCATAAATAAGATAAACATAGTAAGCAGTACTCAAAACATATGTAGTACCATAATAATTAAACAAATATGCATAAAATACAAATAAGAAACTTATGGGAAAAGTTTTGGGTTATGACTTAAATGTCCTTTGATTTTTCCTATAAGAGTCTGCAATGTATTAAAATTTCAATTATGTTTTATATAATATGTATATATATACACATATATATGATTAAAGTAAAAGACATATAAATTTATTTAAATATTCAGTGAATATCTACTGACCCCTATCTTTCATGCCTAGATACAATTTTTATTAAAAAAGACTACAGTGTACATCGGAACAACTGGCTTATTCTAAGTTTCTACATTGCTTTGCCCTTTCTCATAATTTTCACCATTATGATCATGAAACAAAATGAAATAAGAAAATCATGCAACAGAGAGAATGCGGAATATAAGGGGTAAATAATATCATATAAATAATTTATTATCATAAATTATACTGGTCATTGACTAGTGTCATAAATTTATATTACCTTATAGAGTATTTGTTATATTTATTTCTAAGTATGTTATTTTTAATATAATATATTGTAAATGGTATTTTTACAATTTTGTTTTCCAAACGTGTGTTGTTAACACACACACACACACACACACACACACACACACACGTACATATATAAGTGTATATACAGAGGGTGCCAAAAAAATGTATATACATTTTAAGAAAGGAAAAAACTATTAAAATTGTAGTAATATATACCGATAACAAAAGATGAATACAAGTCATGTGTATACATTTCTTTGGCACCCCCTTTATATGCATATATATGTATATAAAAGAAGTATGCAAAGAAATATTATCAATTGGGGAACCAACAGAACCTTTTATGTAAAAATGAAATGAGTTTTTCAAATTTATTTCAGTAATAATGTATTTATGTATGTATGTATTTATATCTACTCACCTATCTTTTAACTATTATTTATTTCAGTTATAGTTGACTTTCAATACAATTTTATATTAGTTTCAGGTGTACACCATAATGGTTAGACATTTATATAATTTGCACAGTGGTCACCCCGATTAGTCTAGTACCTGCCTGGCAGTATACATAGTTGTTATAACATTGTTGACTATATTCTTTGCAGTACTTTTTATTTCTGTGACTATTTTGTAACTACCAGTTTGTATTTTTTAATTCCCTACCTTTTTCAACCAGTTCCCCAACCCCTGTCCCCTCTGGCAATCATCTGTTTGTTCTCTGTATCTATGAGTCTGTTTTTGCTTTGTGTGTTTGTTTATTTTGTTCTTTAGAATCCACATATAAGTGAGATCTATGGTATTTGTCTTTCTCTGTCTGACTTCTTTCACTTAACATAATGCCGTCTAAATCCATTCATGTTGTCAAAAATGATAAGATTTCAATCTTTCTTAGTGCCAAGTAAATCCCATCATATATATATATATATATATATATATATATATATATATATANGTCCCTCTGATCTTTAAGTCTCCAGTAGATAGTTAATGATCTGCTTCTGAATGAGGTAATGCATAGTTGTCCCTGCAGTGTTGCACGTACTCAAACTGCATATATTGGTGATGAGAAATAAACTCGGGGCTTCAGCATCACTGAAGACCGGCCACATCAGCATTTGTATGAGTGTCTTTTTATTCATTCCCACTCCCCCCTTCGGGTACTGATCGACTTGTGGCAGCTGGCCCGCCATACAAGTGCTGGAGAGGTTGTGGAGAAAAAGAAACCCCTATACACTGCTGGTGGGAATGGAAATTGGTACAGCCACTATGGAAAGCAGTATAGAGGATCCTGAAAAAATTAAGAATGAATAACCATATGACCCAGCAATCCCTCTCCTGGGTATTTACCCCAAAAATTTGAAAACATTTATTCATAAAGATATACGTGCTCCAATGTTCATTGCAGCTTTACTTGCAGTGGCCAAGATATGGAAACAACCAAAGTGTCCTTCGATAGGTGATTGGATAAAGATGTGGTACATATACACAATGTAATGCTACCCTGCCATAAAAAAAAAGATGAAATACTTCCATTTGTGATAACATAGATGGATCATGAGATTATTATGCTAAGCAAAATAAGTCAGACAGAAAAAGTCAAGAACCATATGACTTCTCTCATATGTGGGATATTATAAAACTGAAACCAACAAAGGAACAAGACAAACAAACAAAGAAACAAAAATTCATAAACGCAGACAACAATTTAGTGGTTACCAGAGGAAAAGGGGGGAGGAGGGTGGTAGAAGAGGGAAAATGGGATCAAATATACATGTATGGTGATGGAAAGAGAATTGACTCTGGGTGGTGAACACACAATGCAATGTATAGATTATGTATTATAGACATGTACACTTTAAACATATTGTTTTACTAATTAATGTCACCCAATAAATTTAATAAATAAAAAGAACAAATTTTAAAGCAAGTAGAGCTAGATTTCTCACATATTGCAATATAGAGGAAGAAGGTCAACAAAACCATGTCTCCAAAAGCAACTAAAAAGGTTGACTAAAACTGTCAAGACCAACCATTTCAGTACTCTGGAAATTAATCAAAGGCAACCTAAAAAGTATTTATTCTTGAAACCTACATCAGTTAACAGAAGTGTGAATTTTAGTTCCTGGGGCTGCCCCCACCTCTCCTGCCCCAGATCTGTCAACAGGGTAATTTAACGAGGACGCAGTAAGATACGAAAACCATTAGTTTTGCTGCCACTGCTTCAGGATAGGTGGGAAGAAATAGGGGATTACTTGATTTGTTGGAGTATTGTCAATTACAGTGGCAATCATTTTGTCAGCCGAACATGGAGGACTAACTGCCTTGCTATACTGAGATAGCAGGCCTTTTAGGAAAAACAATAGACCAGAAAGTAACTATGAAGTTAATAAGGAGTGTCAGGAGATAAGACAGTCATAAGGGAAAAAGATAAGCTCTCTTTCATGGTTCCATACAAATTTTAGAATTGTGTTTTCTATTTCTGTGATAAAGCCATTGGTAATTTGATGGGGATTTCATTGAACATAGAGATGACTTTGGGTAATATTTAACAATATTAATTCTGATCCATGAACACAAGATGTCTTTCCATTTTTTCCCCCCAATTTTTGTAAGCAAAATATTGTAGTTTTTGTTGTACATGTCTTTCACCTCCTTGGTTAAATTTATCCCCAGGCATTCAATGTTTTGATGCTATTATGAATGTGATAGTTGTCTTTTTCTTTTTCAGATGTTTTATTGTTAGTGTATAGAAGTGCAACTAATATCTGTATGTTAATTTTCTATCCTGCAGCTTTACTGAATTTGTTGATTAGTTCCAACAGTTCTTTGGTTGAGTTTCTGGGGTTTTCTGTATGTCTGCTCATATTGTCTGCAAATAATAGCAATTTTTCTTCTTGCTTTGTATTTTCTGAAAACATTTATTTGAAACATATATGTACCCTAATGTTCATTACAGCATTATTCACAGTCGCCAAAACATGAAAACAATAAAAATGTCCTTCAATAGACGATTGGATAAAGAAGATGTGGTACATATATATACACAATGGAATATTTCTCGGCCATAAGAAAAGATGAAATACTTGGCTATTGTGAATAGCACCACAGTAAACATAGGGGTGCATATATATATATATATATATATATATATATATATATATATATANGCTCCCAAGCCAACTCTTAACCAACGAGCCACTCGGCCGTCCCCAGTTTTTTGGGATTTTGTTTGTTTGTTTGTTTTATTAGTTTCAGGTATACAAAATAGTGCAATAGTTGTAGTTTTTACCCCTCACATGTTTTTTTAATAGTAGCTTTTCTAATGGATGTGAGGTGGTAGCCCATTGTGCTTTTTATTTGCATTTTCTTAATGATTAGTGATGTTGAGTATCTATTCATGTGCTTATAGGTCATTTGTATATCTTTTTTTTTTGGAGAGAAGTCTTTGGCCATTATTAAATCGAGTTATTTAATTGTGTGTGTGTGTGTGTGTGTGTGTGTGTGTGTGTGTGTAGTTTTAGGAGTTCTCTATATAACCTGGATATCAATCCTTGTCAGATATATGATTTGCAAATATTTTCTCCAGTTTCTTGGGTTAACTTTTTACTATGTCAATATTCTGGATATATATCCAAAATAATTGAAAGCAGAGTTTCAAAGAAATATTTGTACACTGATGCTCATCTCAACATTCACAACAGCTAAAAGGTAGAAGCAATTTAGCTATCAGTGGAGGTATCCTCAATTGATGAATGGGTAAGCAAAATATGGTATTGCAAATGGATAAGCAAAATATAGGCTGGTGCAAAAGCAATTGAGGTTTTTGCATTGTTGAATTTGCCTTTGATATTGGAATATATTCTTAAATAAACATGGTTATGTTATACATAATTTTAATGTGCATTTCTTGATCTATGGGTTTTTTTGCTAATGTCTTATTACCTGCTGTTTATTTTATATGTATTTTAGACTATGGAAATGATGTTAGACAAAAAGCAAATTTGAGCGATTTTCTTATTTGAGTTCAAAATGGGTCAAAAAGCAGTGGAGACAACTCGCAGCATCAACAACACAGTTGGCCCAGGAACTGCTAATGAATGTGCAGTGCAATGGTGGTTGAAGAAGTTTGTAAAGGAGATGAGAGCCTTGAAAATGAGGTGCATAGTAGCCAGCCATCGGAAGTTAACAACCAATTGAGAGCAATTACATAAGCTGATCCTCTTACAACTACACGAGAAGTTGCTGAAGAACCCAACATTGACCATTCTATGGTAGTTTATCATTTGAAGCAAATTGGAAAGGTGAAAAAGCTCGATAAGTGGGTGTCTCATGAGTTGACCACAAATCAAAAAAATTGTCGTTTTGAAGTGTCTTCTCTTATTCTACGCAACAACAACAAACCATTTCTCAATCAGATTGTAATGTGCGACAAAAAGTGGATTTTATAGGACAACCAGTGATGACCAGCTCAGTGGTTGGACTGAGAAGAAGCTCCAAAGCACTTCCCAAAGCCAATCTTGCACCCAAAAATGGTCATGGTCACTGTTTGGTGGTCTGCTGCTGGTCTGATCCACTACAGCTTTCAGAATCTCGGCAAAACCATTACATCTGAGAAGTATGCTCAGCAAATCGATGAGATGTGCTGGAAACTGCAACACCTGCAGCTGGCATTGGTCAACAGAAAGGGCCCAATTCTTCTCTATGACAACGCCCAACTGCACATTGCACAACCAACACTACAAAAGTTGAGCGAATAGGGCTATGATATTTTGCCTCATCCACCACATTCACCTGACCTCTCACCAACCAACTACCACTTCTTCAAGAATCTCGACAACTTTTTGTAGGGAAAATACTTCCAGAACCAGCAGAATGCAGAAAATGCTTTCCAAGAGTTTGTCGAATCCCAAAGCATGGATTTTTCTCGCTACAGGAATAAACAAACTTATTTCTCATTGGCAAAGATGTGTTGATTGTAATAGTTCCTATTTTGATTAATAAAGATGTATTTGAGCCTACTTATAATGATTTAAAATTCATGGTCCGAAACCACAATTACTTTTGCACCAACCTTTATACACACATATATACACAACGGAATACTAAATACTATTCAGCAATAAAAAGGAAGGGAATCTGACACATGCTACAATATGGTTGGATCTTGAGGACATTATACTAAGTGAAATAAGCCACTCACAAAAGATGAATGCTATAGGTCCATTTGTATGAGGTATCTGGAGTGGTGAAATTTCTAGAGATAGAAAATAGAATAGTAGTTCCTAGGTTCTGGGGAAGGGAGAAATGGGGAATTATTGTTTAGTATGTACAGAATTTCAGATTTGCAAGAAGAAAAGAGTTCTGCAGATGGCTGGTGATGTTTGCACAACCATGTGAATATACTTAATAGCAATGAACTGTACACTAAAAATGGTTATGGTGGTAAGTTTTATGTATATTTTAGCACAAAAATAATTATAAGAAATACATCTTGAAAAAAATTAAAAAGTCACCAACCTGTATATTCAAACATGAAATAAAAATTCCTTCCAAATTAACTCTGTTGAGTTTCAATGTATGAACCCCATATTAACTGGGAAAATTTTCTATTTACCTTTTCACTTAATTTCTCCAAGCCATAGATTTTTCTAAAAAATCAAACGTGTACAAAACTGAATAAATTGATTTAAATTGTTTTTGAGAATCATTTCTAAGTTGTCATTTTTTCTTCATATTTAAATTCTAAATACTGAAGTAATAAAACACATATACACATTTAATATTTAGCTATTTTTAGGACTACTTAGTTTTCTAAGAAAAATACTTATCTATAATAGAATTGATTTTTGATGTGTGTGTGTGTTTTGATCTGAATTTTAAAGTAGAAATCTGGCAGTAGACATAGTTAAAGCTGGCAACTGTCTATTACTAAACATTGTGAATTTCGATCTTTTTCCCTCGCTACAGTAATTCAGCCATTGTACCCGAAAACTATGACGTGGACCCTTAATATTGCCAAGAACTTCACCAGCAAATGGCCTACTTCCAGAGGAGGAAGTGTGTTTAGAACC